GAGAGAGAGAGAGAGAGAGAGAGAGAGAGAGAGAGAGAGAGAGAGAGAGAGAGTGGTTGCTGCGCTTGGCAACACTGTTTGGCCTGGTCAGGCAAGCAGGTTGACTTCTCTATGGCCTCCTGTCCACCCAGCTAGAAAGTGCACATGTGAATCTGGCATCCGAGACCCTCTGGAAGGACCTCTACCTGCATAGGTTGAGCCACCTTTCTCACCTTCTTTCTGTCTTGCTTGGTGATTGACGTGCCGACATCATCAACCGAATCAATGCCGCCACTTCCAGGTGAGCCCTCACAATTAGGGTTTCTCCCAATGGCAATTCTTGGTGCAGACACTGTGGCAGACGGTTGGCTACCTCCTACACTTTGAACGATTGTCATCGCCGCTGCTCCCGCTGACCCGACAGATAAGGGTGTGCCAAAAGTGCTGCCAGTTGCCATTGCCAGTCCTGCTATTGCAGGGGAGCTACTGCAAGCCCCACTTGGTGCAGCCCTAGGAGAACCTGTACCTGAGCCGCCGGATCCAGAAGATGCAACAGCCCCTACGGCACTCGTCCGTGATCGCCGCTGTGTCGAGTTAATATTCCGGCTGGCCACACGACTTGAGATTCTGCCCTGCTGCATCATCCAGCCAGTAAACACTGTCAGCTCTTCTTCCTGTGCCAGAATCTTTTCTGTACACCCACCCACCCACACTTTTCTCACGGGTATCGCTATATTTGGCCAAGTTGTCGAGTGCTTATCGATCAGTCAAATGCATCCTGGGCAGACTGCCGAGGTTCAATCTGCTGTTGAGTTGGTGAAGGTCAGCTGAGACAATACCTTGATTTTGTGGAGGTGTGTTTAGTGAACGCACACACATATACATACATTCATGCTCTCATCCATATCAATAAGAAAAAAAAGACTCAAAAGCATTCACATTATCACATATGCATTAAGGAGCAGGCTTGCGAGCTTTCCACACTCTCTCCATATGCACACACACACACGCACAAAAAAAAAAAAAAGAAACATCCATATATGCATTAAGGAGCAAGAGCTGGTTAACGGAGACCCAACATTTCAGTGTTCTTTCAAAGCTATTTACATAATTTTATAAGCATTCGCCGTTCAGAGAATTTTCAGAATTTTCAGCGTTTTTGGAAATGGTCACCACAGACAATTCCAATGGACAAAAACACTTTAGAACATTGAGAAATGGTCACCAGGCACAATTCCAACAGTCACAAAAAAAAAAAATCCCAAAACAAAAAATTTGGCCAAAAAACATGGTTTCATCCTGTTAACCACTGGTGCAAGGAAGGAGAAAACAAAATGGAAATAGCTCTGGATGCAGTGATCGGAGAATCGAAGAGGCAGTACATCGTCTCATCCCACACAACACGATTGTGACACAATCAAGGCATTAGCGCACCTGTGATCCGTGAGCACTAATTGTGCAGCACCTGCAAGATAGCATGTAATGCACTCTACCCTCATCAGGATACAACCTCCAGGGTCATTGAACCTGGGACATGATGCCAACTATCCTCAATGGCATATTGTATATAAATGTTGTGCATCCCCCATGATCATCTCCATTTATCGCTTTGGTTTGCGAATTGCATGAGTTCGCTTGTATGAGGAGGCTGCTTAGTGTGAGGAGAGCGGAATTGCTATGGAGCACTTGGATTTGGACAGCCTATTATCTGGTGATCTCACTGCAGAGCTCAGTGACCATGAAGTGGTATGGTCATCTATCGATATCCTACTGCCCCTCTACTTGGACTGTGTGGAAGTGTGTGTCCTCCCTGGTGAAGGTGTCCCAGTAGTTCGGGACACATGCTTACTTTCCTGTTTACCTAATGTAAGGTGTCCAAGTAGTTCGGGAACATGCTTGTGTTCCTGTTTACCTAGAATGGTCATCAATACATTTTCCCTAGCCCTCCCTCATCCTCCTATTTCCACCCTTCGCCTCTCTCTTCACCTCCTTATTGTCTCTATTTTCTTTCCCCTCATCCCTTACCTCTCTAGTTGTGTTCATTCACAACTCCCCAAACCCTCTTTCGTCTACCACCTTCCTGTTGCCAAATCCTGCTCTCTCGTTTCTACCTCCCACCCACCTTCCCCTCGTTCCTCCTTTCTCGCCATGGCATGCTCCCTCCCTTGCCGCTCTATCTAGAAGTTCTAGATTTACTAGACCTAATTACACAGACATGGAAAGTTGGAAACTATGATTAGAAAATCGATGCCACATTTGACAGGGGATATGAATGAGATTAGCACACTTCACACAGGATAAGTTTGAGTACGTGGAGTTTGGACTCTGATCATAATGGTAAACAAGAGTAACCAGGTTTTGATAACTTGAAACTGGCATTACCTGCCTCTCCCCCTACCACGTCATCTATCCATCCACTCTTGGAAATATCTTCATTGGACATACGAAAAGGTCGCAACCAGTAGAGACTGGACTGGGAAGTGACATTGCAACAAATGCCAGGGAAGGAGTGGGGAACTACAAGCCAGTGGATACATTCATGTGGCGAGAAGAATATCCCCTGGACCCCTGGAAGAAGAGGGAGGAGCAATGTGAGCATTGGATTCATTATTTATGAGACGGACCACTGCGGCTCCGCACGGGTTATAAAAGAGGTGTCAGTTGTCACTCAACTACCAGGAAAAGTACGAGGTAGGCAGAGGGCGAAGTTCAGAAGTCGCAAACCAACTCAAGTATTGAGGTTTTTTGTGTGTTGAAGCAATGTGACATTGGGAAATGGTCAGTTTGATTTCAATTAAGAGCAAATGGGAATCAGCAGTGTGGAAAAAACGAAGGGGGACAAAACTCGGGAAACGATATGTGACATCGTTGAGGAGAGCGAAGTTGAGCATGTGTTGTGCAGGAAGTTGTCAGCTCTGTGAATGATTACACGCTGCGCACCAAATTGCAAACAAACCAAGCAAGCAGTCTTATGTTAACAAATTGTTTTATAAAGTTTCTGGAACTTGGTCGAATGATCAAGGTAGTCTCTTATTATCGTGTTGGATCCTGAGTCTTTATGGTTTTGTCTTTTGTTTTCGAACTCGCAACGAAGTTGCCTTGACTGGTGCCCTTCTTATGATTCACAAATGGATTGCTTTATTTTTCTCTGTTTTTTTAACCTCCAATCCTTTTCTTCGAGAATTTCCTTTTTAAGCACTGATTCGGGAAAAGAATTCAACCCTGTACTACAAGACCCCGTATTGGCTATACATCCTCCTTGTATTTACGCAGGATACGTTGCCAGTACTATTGGTTTTTGTTTATGTGTATCTGGAACTCGACAAAAAATATACACGGCGCGTGAAATCAATGAAAGTGGGAAGCTGAAAGACCACTGTGGAAAAAGAAAGGCAGTGATCTTACATTCTGTGCTTCACGCCATAACGCAAGCTCTTGGAAGTGCCTATTGGAAACTGATACGAATTTGGATTTTAACGTGCTTGTGTTCACGGATTTGGATTTTAACGTGCTGGTGTTTTTTAACTGTAGGAATACTACTGGGAAGTTGGTGGGCTTATCATGAGCTAGGTTGGGGCGTTTGGTGGTTTTGGGATGGTCAATTGTTGGAAAGATGCTCCTAGAATCGATGAGATGTTGAAGTAGTTAGGGACAAATGCTTACTTTTGTGTTTACCTAGTGTACGGTCATCAATGGTCGTCAATCATAGTTGCGGCGCACCTCGGTGCACGGATTTGCGCACGCGCAGCGCACCGCGCACCCCATCACGCACAGCGCATCAGAAAAATTAAGGTAAAAAAAAAAAAAAGTAGGGATTCCGTGATTTCCTACGGCACCCTCCCTGGAAAAAATGTTCAACTCGCCGCGCGAGTTCGGAAATTGTTCGCGCCCCTTGGCCCAAAAAAAAATTTTTGGGCAAGGGTTGCCGAATTCTGAACTCTGCAGGCTGCTCCTCCACATATTTCAAAATAGCTGATTATGAAAATAGGGCTCATTGAGCCTCGAGGTTTTCGTTTTTGGGTGGAGTACAAGGCTGAATACCCGGTCCCACCGGGGCCCCCTTCCCCCACCGGAACCGGTGGACCACGCCGGTTGCCCCCCGGTTGCAATTTGTGCAATTTGATTGCGGGGGTAGTTTGAATTTTTTTGTGGCCGGGCCTCGATGCAGGTCGTGGAGGCCTCCCGGCCACAAAACAAATTTGAACCGGGTCTGGTAGGCCTGGCGGCCTATCTGGGCCATCGATCTGGTGAGATTGGCGGCCCAGATAGGCCGCCCTTAATTGAACATTTGGGCAGGAAACCACCCAAACATCGGCCTGCCATCCATACGTTCCCCAGCCACCGCCCCCACCATCCCGCCTCCCGCCTCCAGCTGCTTTCAAGCAGCTCAACCCGTCACTTCGACACTTCGTCAAAAGTGGACGAGGTCGAGACTGTGTCGCCCCCCCACGTCCGCCCCGGCCTCGGATCGCCATCGCCCCGCCCCGCCCCACCGTCCGTCGGTAAAGGTGAGTCTTCCTCCTCCTCCTCCTCCTCTTCTTCTTCTTCTTCTTCTTCTTCTTCTTCTTCTTCTTCTTCTTCTTCTTCTTCTATTTCTTCTTCCTCTTACTATCTTCTTCTTCTTCCTCCTCTGGCACAGCCCAAGTTTGCGAAATCTCAGAGAGAGAGAGAGAGAGAGAGATTGTGCCAAAAAAACAATCGCAGTTTGAAGTCCGGAGTAGGCATGGACACAAGGTAGGGGTAGAGGGGCAGCCGCACAACGAGAATGAGTCGAAGAGGAAGAGATGCATGGATGAGAGGGAGATTCAACTAAACGAGAGACAAGGAGCTGAGATGCATGAAAGCGACAAGGGGTAACAGGGAGGTACGTAGAAAAGAGAAATGAAAATTAAAAAAAAATCGGGACCAAAGGCCGGATCGGCTCTCATGTGAGAGAACAAGAGAAGGACGGACAGTAGATCAGATGGACGGCACGCGCGCGCGCGCGCGCGCGCGCGCGCGCGCGCGCG